AGAACTCGCTCATACGTTAGAAGGCAATATCTCAAAATCACAGTTTGGCGCTTGGGTCCTTTTCGATTAGCATTATCCGTTTCATCTCGTTGGAGTTTGACTTTCGAAAAATCCGTTTGCGAAAAATAAGCTTTTTACGTCAAGCAGTTTAAGCAGAATCTTGGTTAAGAAATTACCCAACTTTTTGGAACACCCTGTATGATTTTTTAAAAAAATTCAAAATATGTAAAAAAACCAAATAAATTATGCTTGTCCAAGCGTTTTCCCGAAAGACTAACCGTTCTTTAAATAACAAATATTGTAATATTTGAGGGGCGTTTTCACCCTCTTGGAATTTGAGATTGGAGAAACCCCTCCTTATCGAACCTCTACACCCCACAGTCAATCCGTTTGCAAAAATCAACTTTAAACGTCAAGCAGTTTAAGCAGAATCGTGATTACTCAATGCTCATATTTTATGAAACACCCTGTAAAATTTATAAAAAATCTTAAAATATGTAAAACAACAAAATAAAATATACGTGTTTAAGAGTTTTTCCGAAAAACTCCCCGGTTTTTAAATAAAAAATATTTTAATATTTAAGGGATAGTTTCACCCACTTAGAATTCGAGTTTCGAAAAATCCCTTCTTATCGAACCTCTACACCCTAAAGCCAATCTGTTTTCCAAAAATCAGCTTTTTACGTCAAGCGCTTTAAGCAGGATCGTGATTAATCAATGACCAGATTTTTTGAAACACCCTGTATACATTTTTAAAAAATTTTAAAATATGTAAAAAAAACAAAATAAAATATACGTGTTTAAGCGTTTTTTCGGAAACTTGACCGTTTTTTAATTAAAAAATATTGTAATATTTGAGGGGTGGTTTCACCCTCTTGGAACTGGAATTTCGAAAAATCCCTTCTTATCGAACCTCTACACCCTAGAATTAACCTGTATGCCAAAATTGAGCTTCTTACGTTGAGTGGTTTGAGCAGGATCGTGATTAATCAGTATGCCAGTCACTTAAGGATTTTATATATTAGTATAGATAATTAATTTACTTTTGTTTCCTAAAACACTTTGATTAAAAGAAAATATATGAAAGTGGGCAACGCTGTGGTCAATCTTAATCACGTGATTAAAAGTTACCATCCGTATCATATGAACTATAAATCTGTGCACCTGACAGCTGACTAGGAGCGATTTCATATTTTACTTCTAACTGATTTTAGACATTCTGTTTTGCAGTGATACGATAATATGACAAATTCTAGAAGTTCGTATCTTAATTTTACTGTTGTCTGTTAAAATATCGTTTTTTCTTTCAAAGAAACTGATTCAAAAATTAATCATTCTTTGTCCGCCGCGATAAAATGTAGAAATATTTCTGGTATTATTAGACGCTTTGTAACAATGGCTCGTAAAAAATACTTTCAACGCGCTGATGTGATAAGCTATATGACGATGGTATCTATAAATGAGGGCATATTAGTTTTCTACTTTAATTATTGCAGTAATAAAATCAAAAGAAAAATATAAAAAAATACCTACTTAACAATCATAGACATGTATAAAACATAATATATTAAAGCCCCCATCTGCCTACTAGACGAGGGAAAACAAAATGTGGTTATTTTAGCAAAAGTTTGAAGGAATTTTTGGTTCTGAGTTTATGAATCATTGATGAGCCTTATTTGGGCATTTCATCTGCCTTTTCAATCAATGTATATTAGCTAATCTATAATCTATCCTTTATACAGATGTCTATTATAAACTTACGTGCATAGAAATCGGCCCACTGTGAACTTTTGGTTTTAACTGTGTCTTTTAGAATCTATTTATCATGGCAAGTAAAAAATATGAGCTGTTTCAAAGACAATTTAACATGCTTTAATATGAGCATAAATTTATTCAGGGTACTTATCGTTTATATGCGTACCAACGGGTAAATAAATAAAAGTATTTGTGGTGACAATAAGATAACAAACTTGTCAAATATTGTAATTACTACCTTTGTAATCGAAATTTTCACATTGTTCTTTTATTCTTTGATTAGTTGTGTTTCATTGTTTGATTAATGTTTCAATTTAATGCATACATCACCGGAAAAAGCCGCCCAAGTAATCGCTTTAATCGAAAATGGACTTAAACAGAGAGCTGTAGCTCGGCAACTACATATGACACGCGGAGCGGTTCGAAGAGTGTGTGAACGATATGAGGAGACTCGATCCTTTCGTAGTCGACCTGGAACTGATAGAAAGAGATATACAATGGGATGAGCTAAAACGAAGAAGTCGTACTAGACGAAGAGCCCCAACTTCTATCCCAGAGCTCATTGTTGCAGTAGAGGAAGAGTGGCGTAACATCCCGCAAGAAACAATATCAAATTTGACCGAATCTATGCCAAATCGTATGAGAGGTGTTGTTAGAGCAAGAGGGGGTCATACCCATTATTGAAAATTTAGTTTAGTTATTTGTCCATAAATACATAAATAAATAATAACATACCTCTTATAGTAATAAAAAACGATAATTTGTTTCATGCATTAATTTAATAATTTTTTTTTAAAAACTATATAACTTTAAAATTTTGCCTTGGGCCGATTTCTATGCACGCAAGTGTATATTCAAAGGCCACTATGACATCGTTTTTTTAGATTCTAGCGTACTTTTCTCACTGATAATTTTATATTCTAAAAACGACTCTTCAAAGTTCGTTTTACAAGAAGGCAGTGTCCATTACCAGCCGGCCTCTCTGTTCAAACTATGATGCACTTTAGTGCTTTCCTAGAATTTCTCCTTGCAGCAGCCCATTTCAGGCATTATTTCCATTGAAAAATTAGACGCCTCGGTGTAGAGTAACGTCCTTGTTGTCTCCATGCTTAATTACCGTTAAAAACATTTTGTAAACTGACGCTTGATAAAGGATAAAGAGGTAACGTCGTTCTGTCTCTTGGTTAAAGCCTCAGAGTGTTAATTTACAGAGACATTGTTGGAAGGAAACGATACAAGTACAACATCATCATCATCATCTGCAAACATTTCCAATTATGGTGTAGCCTCTCTCACAAATTTAGATAATCTCTTGTAATCTCCATTTATCCCTGCTAATTTCCTAATATCATGGTCTCATCTCAGGTTTGGTCTTATTCTAGGTCTCTTAATTCCTCGTGCCCATGTTGTAATTTTTGTAGTTCATCTGTTGTACGTCGTTTTTGCCAGGTGTTCTGCCCATTGCCATTTCAGGGATTTGATTCTGTGGAAGACATCTATTATCTGGGTCTTTTGTCTTATCCACTTTAATTTTTACTTTCTTCTTGGATATTCCTAGCATTTTTGGACTTCGGCTGTATTTAGTTCGCTAATTTATGCTTGTAGTTCTTCAGGACTATTGGCAATTGAATTCCAGCGAATCTTAGAAGGTTAGGATATTCTCCATTTATTTCCAATCCTTTGTTGGTCCAGTCTAGTTGACGGAAGATTTCTTCTAGTATTGCTGTAAAGAGCCTTGGGGTCATCGCGTTTCCCTGTTGTACTCCTTTGCCAGTTGAGAATACTTATGAGTACTTGTTTATACTATGAGTACTTATGATACTAAGTTTATTTGCTATTAAAGCCACCTACTCGATTAGAAAGGTGTATGTAATTGTTTTTAGATTATAAAATTTAAAGTATCCAGAAACCTGCCATTATAAACGACAGTCTGATATACAGGGTGGTTCGAACTGTATTCCGGAAACTTCGGCAGCATATTCTGCAGATAAAAATAAGTAAACAATTTCGTATAAATATATGTCCTAAAATGCTTAGTGTCGGTGATACAGGGTGTGGAAGTTTCATTTTTATTTTGATTTTTTCTAAATAATTTCTGAAGTAGTGTTAATATTTGAATGAAAATTGGTATCTGGGAGTTTTGTGACATGAGAAATTTAATTTTGATATCAAAATGACTCATATTTCTAGGGGGCGCCACCTACATGCGTTTTTATTGTTTTGAAGAGTAATAACTTTTCGTCCGTCACTGTATAAAGCTACTGACTATAAAAATATACATTTCCATGATTTTTTACGTAAAAAATATTTCTTGGTAAAAATCACTAAGAGCAACCGTTCTCAAGATATTTAGAATCGAAACACTCAATATCAATATCTCAATATCATTATTGACAAAAACTAAGCACACGTTGAGTATAGTTATTTAACTGAAATAGTAAATTTTTATTTTTAAAATTAATCATAAATTTTTCTACGAAAAAAATGATGATGAAACAGTTTCTGTTGGACTTTTGGCACAAAAGATTTCAAATTTATGATTTTAGTCTAATAACCATTTAGTCAACATGTTGAATTCATGTAAATGATGACAGGTATTGATAATTTCAATTCCAAATATCTTGAGAACCATTACTCGTAGCGATTTTTACCAAGAGACCTTTTTTATGTAAAAAAGTTGTAAATGTATATTTTTTAACTCAGTAGTTTTTTACAGGTATGGACGAAAAGTTATTACTCTTCAAACCAGTTAAAACATATGTAGGTGGCGCCCTCTACAAGCAGGAGTCATATTGACATCAAAATCAAATTTCCCATGTCAAAAAACTCCCAGACACCAATTTTCATCCAAATATTGACGTTACTTTAGAAATTATTTGGAAAAAATCGAAAATAAAAATGAAACTTCTACACCCTGTATTTCCGAAACTAAGCATTTTAGGACATACATATACGAACTTTTTACTTATTTTTAACTGCAAAATATGCTGCCGAAGTTTCCGGAATACAATTCGGACCACCCTGTATAAACGTTAAACGTTGTGTTTCAGGCATATGTGAATTTTTCAGTCATAAGCCGCCATTGATGAGGCTAGTATTAATAAATAAGCTATATCTAAATGGTGGGCATATTTTAAAGAAAAAGCCTGGATATTTCGCCACTGAAACAGAAGGCTAAATAATAAGAAAGATCTTTTTATAACATTTACGTAAGTTGGTTCTTATAGATTTTTATTCATTTGCAGGAATTTGCCGAAACAGCAATGAACGAATTGTTAGGATGGTACGGTTATGACACGACAAAGAAAGAAGTTAAAGACAATTGCAGGTCGTACTCAGGCAGCAACGATTCGGAAGGAGAATCATCAGTGAGATTTACAGGTATGCTATATTGATTTTTGGTTTAATTTTTTTGACTGGGATTTGGAGACACATAGATAATAGGGTCAATGCATTGGTTCTCGGCCTTTTAACGGAAACTTTGACTTTGAAAGCAAATTAGATATGGAAGGAGGTTTTAAATCATAATTTGCCCAATACAAAAAATGTTCGGTAGAGTGTTTTAATAATTATGGATTTTTTTTTAAATTTTTATTTTCAAAACTTTAGTAAAAAATCAATAATAACCGAAAAAAGTGCTATTTTACTGGTTCTTGGCCACCACTCACAGTTCTCGGCCAATTTTGTATTGGTTCTCGGCCATGTAGGTATACCTAGAATATAGGTAGGATACCTTACTATGATTCTGCGTACCTAATTAAGAATCAATTAATTTATGAAGGTATCAATAAAAAAACTTTAATTAAAAAACTTATATGTATGTATGGCAGGAATATTAGTAATACAATAATAGCAATAGGCTCCTTAAAACCTAAATAAACTATAACAAATAGGTAACTATAAACATTAGGTACCGGTTAAATACCTATAACCATAGATATCTGATTTTCTGAAGCTATTCTTTACAGAATTCTTAAATCTGTCAGATTTTGATAAAATTTCGTCAAACACGCTACAAAAATTAATTTTTGTCACCGAGCAATTTAGATTTTCGGGTTTGTTCTGCCACTTACAAACTGTTTTTTCCATTCCGATTTCACCGGTTTGAAGACGCTAACGTCAGCAGGCTGGAGCATGTGGGTGATGTTAGGTGGAAGAGCATATAAAATTATTTCATTATTGTGGCACCACTCACTAATTGTCATAGTGAGATGGGATTTATGCCCATCCACAAACAGGCCTCGGAATATTTTCTGTAATCGACCATTTTAATATCATTATTGATAAACTCAAAAAATACGTCAGATGTCCATCCATCCTCTTTCTGACTTTCCTAACACCCAACCGCTCGGCATATCGACAATATCGACAATAACAGCCCTGGGAAGTCGCACATAAGGGAATAACAAAAGTGGAGGAGCAAATTTTCCTTCGGCGTTGAACATAATTCGGGCTTCCTCAGAAGATCGGGTACTCTTCCTTTGATTCTATCCTGGATCGTCGTCCTTGGTACATTAAATCTTTGACTGTCTTCCCTTATTTTTATTTTATTTTCCCGGATCTCACGCAGAGCATTCTTGAGATCTTCCTTTGTGTATTGGTACATCCTTGGTACTTTAGGTCGTACCAAGACAGTTTTATTACCCTGGGTTTTATTTCTCCTAGTTTCCCTAGCCACTGAAAAAAATCAAAAGGATTAGAGTTGGTTAGCGGCCGAGAACCGAAATCTACAGTGATCTTGGTTCTCGGCCATACTATTTTTCATGGTGGCCGAGAAACGCTATTTCTCGGTCACTATTTTTAAACATAATTTTTGATTAAATTGGGTTTTATTAGTTTTAGTTAAAAATCATATTTTTTATATATTATGGGAACATAGGTAGTAAATTAAATGCACAAGAAAGGGGGAAAATTCAGAAGAGATCCAGTGGGTTCCCAAAATTTTAGCAAAATATTTTTTTCACAAGCGTCACGAAAGTGTTAGTTTTTGCGACATGATTGACATTATAAAAGAGTCATTTTATCATTTTAACGCCTTGTGACGTTTGAAAAAGAAATAACATGTTCTATTCTGAGTAAAAATGACTTTTTGTGGCTTGATTTTCCTTATTCAATATTAATTAGCGCTGATAAATATTTTTGCGATGAATATAATCAGATTAAATTATTTAAAAAACCAGAGTCGGACTTGAAATTATTTTAAATAATAATTAAATAGTTTTGTTGTTGTTAAGGTACCTAAAACAAAAAAAAGTATAAAGTGTGGCATATCATTGTACTCAGGAGATCGAGTTCTTTCAAAACCTGAAAATAAAAATGCAGGTAAGTTGGCCTCTGTATCTCACAAATTATCAGGTAATTTAAAAATCTAAAAATATTATTAGGTAGCCTTCATACAGTGGCTCAAAAATAAAATTGATTTTCAAAAAATCCGATTTAAAAAAAAACTCAGCAATCCTTGAAAAAATCCAATAAAAATTTTAAAACTTTTTTGATGGCGTCTTGGTGAACATCCCAAAGCGCAACTTTGCTCCAATTTAACCATGTTCGTATCTATTAGGGTTACCGAGATACCAATGCTCGTACCTCGAATTTGTAGTACCCTGTATAGTCATCATTTCTACAGAATATTGTTAAACGGAATGCTACTTGGGGCACAAAAATACAGACCAATGTAATTAAATTAATAGGCATCAGTCGATATCGAATTAAAATAATGAAAAGTCCGAAAATGCGAAAAATAATACTCACTGCTGTTCGGGCGCGGAATCGGCATCGCGTCGGCCATTGCCGAATCCTATTTATTTGAAAAACGTTAATCAATATTAAGTTACTCATTAAAATAAACAAAAACCGATCGCGTTTCGTTACTTTTCAATTAAACAGCCTTTTTTTAGATTCGTATTGTGCAGTATCCGGTATTAATAAGGTACGGTACAGTGGTGTGCCCACGGGGAGAGTTTTTCAGAGTTAAAACTAAAGATGCACGATTAATTTAAGTATTATTATCATCATCATCATTCTCAGCTTATTCAACCATTTCCATTTCCGATTATGGTGTAGCCTCCCTCACATATTTAGATACTCTCTTTGTAGTTGGGCCCATTGTTGTCTGTTGTTAGCTATGCGGGCCCAAGTAATTCCTGCAAATTTTTTTGACCATGATTTTAGATGGTCCCATCTCAGGTTCGGTCTTCATTTAGGTCTCTCAATTCCTCGTGGCTACCATGCTGTAATTTTTGTGGTCCAGCTGTTGTCTGTCCTTCTTGCCGGGTGTCGTGCCCATAGCCACTTGAGGGATTTGACTCTATGGATAACATTTATTACCTGGATCTTTTGTCCTATCCACTGTATTCCTTTACCGTCTCTCTTGGTTATTTCCAGCATATTTCGTTCCATTGAGCGTTATGCGACCTGCAGTTTCCTTATAATGTCCGTTTTAAGTGTCCAGGTTTCGCATGCATATGTCATGACTGGTGACATTGGTATTTCTGGTAGTAGAGATTCCGAGCTGTATATTAGTTGTCCCAAATATATACATATTCTTCTACTATTTCAAGTGTTGTGTGTTTCTACAAGCTCTTTAATAGAAAAAGAGCATTAAAGTTCACCCTTAGATGATGCCAACATGAGTTAATGATGAAGATGAATCATGAGTGCATGTGGATATAAAAATTGTCTCTTTTTGGACAATTGTCAATTTAAACTGCACATTCTTAGGATCTTATTTTATTAAAAAAATAAAAACCCTCTAACTTTTTAAATTTATAGTCTTTAAATACTGTACAGGGTGGGTCAAATTCGACGCTTTTAAATGGAAACACCCTTTTCTATAGGAGATAGACGAAAACTAATATCGGTGTCTGGAGCTCAATTTTCATCAAAAACATGAAGGTGAAGACCGTACATCAATGTCTGTTACCGTTTCGGAGTTACGGGGTGTTTTTCAAAAATGTGCATTTTTAACAAATCGCTGTAACTTTTTTGCTATGGAAAATTTTGTCTTTCTATGAAAACATTTCCAAGGCACCTTTTTACGTAGAATTGAATGGTTTAAGTATAATTTTTTTAAAATTAATAATTTAAGAGTTATCAACAGAAAAATTGATTTTTTATTTGGGACACCCTCTATATTTTTAATTAACTGAAAATAATTTAAAATTACCTTTTCAAAAATATAGCACACTTGATATTTTGTTATAATTCCCTTCGAAATACAGAATTTTTAAAAGTTCGCCACTTTTAACTAGTAGGCTTTGGACCCCTTATTGATGATATGCCCTTAATGGAACTCGAAAACAAATTTTTCCAGCAAGACGACGCACCGCCTCTGAGCGCTGAAGTTATCAGCAAATTTTTGCATCCAATTTCAACAATAATTGAATAGCCAACCAAGATTCCAGCCGTTGGCCGTCGAGGCTGCCTGACTTAGTGCCCATGGATCTAATCCTATGGATATATTTGCGGAAAAATAAATGTTCCTTATTCTTCCTCATAATCTAGACAAGAATTAGAAATACTTAGCAGCTATGAGAGGGTATCTTTCACCCCCACTGAGTTAATGAATTCCGCGAGAAATGTTCAAAAACTGCCCCGTCTGTCCATAACAGAAGACGGTCGATATGTCGAACACCTGTAGCAAAATCTCATGTCTTGGTTTGCTATTTAGTTTTATTGTTATTAGATTAGATATAGTTTAAATGTGTTGATGTTGGTTAAATATATATTAAATAGTTATAAAATTCTGAATCTCTCATAGCAAATATTATTTTCGTTTTAATTGATGCTCAAAGCTAGATTTTTTTGCATTACAGCCGGTGCCGTTCAAAGCCTACTACTATTTAAAGCGGGCGAATTTTTATATACTCTATATCTCGAAGAGAGGAATCGAGCAAAATATCAACTGTGTTATATTTTGGAAAGGTAATTTTAAATTCTTTTCAATATATTAAAAATATACAGGGCGTCCCATATAAAAATCAAATTTTCTGTTGATAACTCTTAAATTATTAATTTTAATGGTATTTCTGGTAGTAGAGATTCCGAGCTGTATATTAGTTGTCCCAAATATATACTTAAACCATTAAATTCTAGTAAAAAGGTGCTTTGGAAATGTTTTCATAAAAATACAAAAAGTTCATAGCAAAAAAGTTACAACGATTTGTTAAAAGTGCATGAGTTAATGAAAAACATGAATAACTCCAGAAACATAACAGATATCGATATGCGGTTTTCACCATCATGTTTTTGATAAAAATTGAGCTCCAGACACCGATATTAGTTTTCGTCTATTTCTTATAGAAAAGGGTGTTTCCATTTAAAAGCGTCAAATTTGACCCACCCTGTACAGAGCGAGTTTTAAATAAGTGCAAATATTTTCA